CCTGCTCCCTCAAGCCAAGCGTGGGAATGGTTCCCCCCCCCCATGCCGTGCTCTTCCACCGTGGGAAGAATGAAGCTGCCCCAGCAAAAACTGACCCCGGCCGGGGTTTCCCAGTGCGTCCCAGTGGCAAACAGCCTTCCCAGCCCAAGTGCCCACTTGAGAGGTTGCGACATGGCCTTCCCGTCTCTCCCTCTCTTTCGAGGGACAGCGGCTTCGAAAAATGTCAAGGGAGAGTGTTGACACGGAAAAGGTCACGGGGGGAACAGGGACCCTGTTTGCGGCGTCTCGGGATGTACCACGAACAACTGGGCTGGAGTCAGCCCAGGGCGAGGGGCCGAGGTCCCAGAAACCATCCCTTGGGAGATGTTCCTGCTGGGAAAATCCTGGAAAAGGAAGAGCCTTTGGCTGGCCTTGAACCAGCAGATAAAAAGCTCATCAGCGTCCTGGGGGGCGGGCAGGGAAAGGCCACAACTGGTTTTGGAGGAGCTGGGCTCCTGGAAGGCTGCGGTTTCAGAGCTGTGTGGGAGGCCACCAGTCCCCAGAGGCCACCAACCAGTCCACCAGTCCCCAGAAGCCACTTTCCAGCGTGGCTTATGACAGTAGAGGTGGAGGGGGGGTCACACTGTCCCCTTGGGATCCCTCAGCCCCAGGGGACACCCCGACAGAGCCTGGCACTGTGGTGCAGGACCTACAGCTTCCTTCCCTCGGCTGCCCTGGCATCAGCATCCCTTGGGGGGTGGGGGGGTGTGGGTGGGCATTGAGCCCAGCTCTCACCACCCCCAAGCAGGGGGTCCCTGTCCTCACCCCACAGAATCACATCGAGCCTGGAAACGGCCATTAATTAGCTTTACTGAGCTCGGTGGTTGCGGTGGCTGGGCGCTGCTCTCACCAGGGCAGGGTCTGCCCTCTCCAATTCCAGAAGGTGCCGTTGCTGGTGGCCGAGAGCTTGGCCAGCACCTGCAGGACACCCTGCACGCTCTCCTCCACCGTCACAGGGCCCTGGGAAAGAAGACAAAAAAACCAAAACAACCAACAGAAGAAGAAAAAAAATCAACCAAAGAAGAAAAAAAATCAACCGAAGAAGAAAAGAAAACAACCAAAGAAGAAAAAGAATCAACCATAAAACCCTTTCCAGGAAATCCCAGCCCCAGCCCGCGGCGCGGTGGGATGCCAGCTCCAGCCAGGGCAGGTTGGGAGAAGCCGGAGCCGCTTTAGCAGCCACGGGCTGTTGTTTGGCACAAATTAATCCTCCCCAGCTCGGGTGCTAACGAGGTGAGTTTTATGGTTCCTAAGAAAAGCGTGGCTCATCCGTTGGCTCCGCAAGCTGGCACAGGTGTCAACCCTGCCCGGCTGCGCTGCAAGAGGCTGCTTGTCTCCCAGCCTGCCTTGGCACGGCGGAGGAGAAGACAAATTTGGGGTGCTGGTGGCCCCGGGGTGCTGGGGAGGCAGGACCCTGGGTGCAACCCGCCAGCTGGGGCCGAGCGTGGGAGCGGGGTGCCCTCTGCTGACACGGCGTCGGGATGGGAAAGGAAACGAAAAATCGGGAGGAAACGGGATGGTTTGGGGACAGAGGATGGAATCGGCCCTTTGCCGTGGTGGTGCAGCTCCCCTGGGAACGAGGGGTGGGAGGACACTGGAAGGGGTGCCCATGGGAAGGGATGGCTGTTGGGAAGGGATGGCTGTTGGGAAGGGATGGCTGTTGGGAAGGGATGTCCATGGGAAGGGATGGCTGTTGGGAAGGGATGTCCAGGGGAAGGGAAGTCTTTTGGGAAGGGATGGCTGTTGGGAAGGGATGGCTGTTGGGAAGGGATGTCCATGGGAAGGGATGTCCATGGGAAGATATGGCTGTTGGGAAGGGATGTCCAGGGGAAGGGAAGTCTGTTGGGAAGGGATGTCCATGGGAAGGGATGGCTGTTGGGAAGGGATGTCCAGGGGAAGGGATGTCTGTTGGGAAGGGATGTCCATGGGAAGGGATGGCTGTTGGGAAGGGATGTCCAAGGGAAGGGATGGCTGTTGGGAAGGGATGTCCAAGGGAAGGGATGGCTGTTGGGAAGGGATGTCCATGGGAAGGGATGGCTGTTGGGAAGAGATGTCTGTGGGAAGGGAAAGGATGTCCATGGGAAGGGGTGTCCATGGGAAGGGGTGTCCCCCAAGAAAAGAATGCTCGTGGGAAGTGATGTCTGCAGGAAGGGATGCCCCCAGGGGAGTGATGTCCATGAGAAGGGATGTCTACAGAAAGGGGTACCACCGAAGAAATGATGCCCCTGCGGAAGGGATGCCCCTGAGGTAGTGATGCCCTCAAGGAAGGGCTGCCCATGGAAAGGGATGCCCATGGAAAGGGATGCCCATGGGAAGGGATAACCCTGAGGAAGGGATGGCCATGGGAAGGGATAACCCTGAGAAGGGATGCTTCCCAGAAGGGCTGCCCCTGAGGAAGGAATGCCTGCAGGGAGGGTTGCCCTGGGGAAGGGATGCCCTTGGGAAGCTATGCCCTCAGGGGATGGATACCCATGGAAAGGGATGTCCCTGAGGAAGGGATGCCCCTGAGGCAGGGATGCCCTCAAGGAAGGGATGCCTCTGAGGAAGGGCTGCCAGTGGGAAGGGATGCCCCTGGGAAGCAATGCCTGCAGGAGGGGATGCCCCCAGGGAAGGGATGCCCATTGGAAGGGATGCCCATGAGAAGGGATGCCCCTGAGGAAAAGATGTCCATGGAAAGGGATAACCCTGGGGAAGGGATAACCCTGAGGAAAGGGTGCCCCTGAGGAAGGGATGTCCCCAGGGAAGGGATGCCCATGGGAGGGGCTGCCAGTGGGACTTTGCCAAGGTGGGGTGGCCCGTGCACCTCCCATCACTCACCGTCCCCCTTCCCAAGGGAGGTGTCACGCAGCCGGGGTCCACAGACACGCAGAGGATCCCGCTGCCCCCGTACTCCAGGGCCAGGCACTTGGTGAGCATGTTCAGGGCAGCCTGGAAGGGGACAATGACCACCACCACCATCACGGGCTGGCAGTGCCATGGCCAGTAGGGGTGTCTCACAGGAGGTACCCCCCCAAATTCCTCCCCGGTGTCCCAGTGGTGGTACCTTGCTGCAGCGGTAGCAGACGTCCTGCCTCTCCTCCCAAGCCTCAGCCACCTCGATGGAACCCAGGATGCTGGAGATGTTGACGATGGCCGCTCTGCTGCAGCTCATCTCACGCTGCCCTTCGGCCTCGGCAGCCTCCTTCAGCAGGGGCAGGAACGCCTTGGGAGGGGGGGGAACAGAACCAGGTGCTCAGGCATCACCATCCTCTTCCTCCCCGCTCCCCAACGTTTGGGGCAGGGGGTGCTGGTGGCCTCACCTGGCTGGTCTGCAGGGGCCCAATGGTGTTGGTGGTGTAGACCAGGGTCATGTTCTCTGCCGTCTCGGTGGCCAGCGTGCTGCGGCGCGTGGTGCCGGCGTTGTTGATCAGGAGGTTGAGGCCGGCGCTTCCCACCTTCTCCTGCACCTTCCCCACCGCCGCCTTGATGCTGTTGGGGTCCGTCACGTCTGCCAAGGGGACAGGAGGACACGGGGAACGGGCTGGTGGCCGTGTCCCAGGCAAGAATCATAGAATCATTGAGGTTGGAATGGGGAATGGGCTGGTGGCCATGTCCCAGGCAAGAATCATAGAATCATAGAATCATTGAGGTTGGAAGAGACCCTTGGCATCATCAAGTCCAACCATCTCCCCTACTCTACAAAGTCCTCCCCTACACCATGTCCCTCAGCACTGCATCTAAACGTCCCTTAAACACATCCAGGGATGGGGACTCCACCCCCTCCCTGGGCAGCCTGTTCCAATGCCCGACCACTCTTTCGGTGAAAAATTCCTTCCTAATGTTCAATCTAAACCTCCCCTGTTGGAGCTTGAAGCCGTTCCCTCTTGTTCTGTCACTAATTACCTGTGAGAAGAGACCAGCCCCAACCTCTCTACAGTGTCCTTTCAAGTAGTTGTAGGAAGCTGCAAGAAGCTTTTCAAGAAGCTATAGGACACAGTGGGATGCAGCCCCGCTGGCCACCGAGCATCCTCCTGGTCCCAGCAGTGACCTGGTTGGGCTGAGCCAAACCCAGGGACCCGCCTGCTTGGATGGCATTTCCCGGAGCCACCCACGGGGTGTCATTAACTCCTGAGGGGGTTTTGTCCCCTTTCCAACCTACCTAAGGGCAGGACCACGACGCTGGGGCAGCCCAAAGCCACCTCGTTGACAGCCTGCACGGAGAAAAGGGAGGGTGTCAGTTTTGGGGGGGGGTTGGGGGTGGGAAGCGGGCGGCCCCGTGTGTCACCGCTGGCAGGTTGTGACAAGCCCCGGTGGGGGAGAGACTCGGGGTGAGTCCCTGCTGACTCTGCTGAGCCCAGCACTTTTAAAGCCCTGGTGTGGGGGCTGCCAGAAACATCCCCCCCCCATCACC